TTAATACGCTTGATCAATTGATTGCGGGCTGAAATGAATGTGGGACAAATGGATGAAATTACTGAGTGAGCAACTTCTTTTCCTTTAAGCCCTGCCGTAATGCAAGCAGCACACTGGTTCTGTCCCTTATATTTACCAGGGTTGGCATTGCGGGAAGCCTTGCACTCCTGAGAGGAATGATTTTCTAAACAAAATGAGCAGAAGGGATGTGAAGCCTTGCAAAACCTAGCAGAGTGATGATAAGAGGAACAACGGAAACAACGGGTTGGAATGATACGATCTAGGACGAGACATGAGGAAAAACTGATGAAAATGTGATCTTTTTGTCTAAAATAATTTCTAAGGGAAGGGGAACATGAGCAAATTAAGGACTGAGTATTCTGTTTAATATCTGTTGGGGATCTGTAAGATTTAACAATTTTAAAATTAGCAAGGAAAGTCGTTTTATCCATTGTTAAGATATTTTTTAGGAAAATATCTTCAATGATGTCAGATTCTTCAAGATCTGAGGGGACGTTGTAAATAGTAATTTGGGGATTTTTGCGATCAATAGGAGACAAAGAGAGATTTTTTGTGGCAATATTATCTTTAATTAGGTTTACCTGGTCATTAGATTCTGTTATGATAGTTAGACTATTTTTTTGGGGAAAAATTTTTTGAATATGGGCAGGGGTTTGTTTAACTGCTTCTTTAAAACGTGTTAGAATATCATCTGAAGATGCTTTAGGGTCAGAACTAGTAATTTTATAAATGGGTTTGTTAACTTGTATTTTCTTAGGTTTACTCTTAGAGGATAATTTTATTGGAGGGAAATCTTTATCAATGTTTTCTTTAGGAGGAATTAGACTACTATTTTTAGAGGTTATCTCAATTTTATCTGTATTATTTTTAATTAGCGAGATTAAGTTATTTTGGTTTTCTTTAAAAACTGAAAAATCTTTAGTCAAAATATCAAATTTATTTTTAAGTTCTAAGGATTCACGTTTATCGGGGGGGGATTGATTATTATTACTAAGTTTATTCTTTAAAATAGAGTTAGTAGATTCTCTAATTTTAGTAATTTCGGATTTAATTAATTGTTGATCTTTCCTAAGAGAGAACCTGTCGTCCACTGTGCTTCTATTCATACCATGTAATAAAACATAATTAATGTGGACTTTGTCAAAGATTTTATCCATTTTTTGTTCAGGGCTAAGGTTCTTAAAGTCTCGAGGATACAAACAGTTGGAGTCATCAGGAATATAAATGTTAAGAGCAAATTTATCAACAAGAGTAATAACTTTAGACAAAAAATCAGTAACAACAGATTTATCAGAGCCAGGTTGAGTAGGTGACCGAGATAAAACAGCGAGCAGAGTAGTAAGGCCGGCCGAAACGCCTTCAAGAGTGTTCATGCATTTTGTAGCCTTCTTCAAAACATCACAGTCGGAAGAATTAAGGGCAGATAATTCAGATTTGGGCTTCGCATCAGATTTAGATCCCATTTTGTTGGATGGGAGGACTGGAGGAGTAACAGCAGAGGTAGACGTGTCCGTTTTATTTGAAGAAGTTTGTGAATTATTGCCGAAAGTGAATTTACACCTAGGATTTGCCGATTGTTTTTGAGAGGCAGCGGGTATATTCTCTCCCTGAGAAAGAGTTTTACGGCTACGGGGGTTACGAGTGGCAGAGAGAGAGCGAAATTTAGGGAGAAAATGCAAGGCATCAGAGTCACTGTCACTAGACATATCAGATGTTGATAATCAAATTATACGGAGAGAGATAAGACTGAAAGAGAGCAAAAAGTCAAAAAGTCACATTTTCACAAAATAAAAACACGATTTAAGAAGAAAAGTATCGGAAAAAAGTAAAATATAAAAATCAGAAAGTAAAGATCACTTAAAACTGAGCCGAACAGTATAAAACACAAAAAGGTCTGACAGAAACTAATGGCTGAAAAAGGCTGAGAGAACGGGAGTAGAGAGAGGCACATCCGTTCCGCGTCAATGCTCAAACGCAACTCGCAATCGACAGGGAGTGAAATTTCGGGGTCAAAATCGAAAGTTCTTCGATCGGGCTGAAA